GCCGGCCGCTTTCCCGCGGTGCGGGGCAGGTCCTGCAAGCTGTGGTGACGCCGGCCCGGGCGCCCGACCCGCTCGGCCCCTGAAATGAAAGCACCCCCCCAGGTATTCTGAATTCAAGGTAGTTCCTGGAGTCCCCTAAAACCCGCCTTGAAAAAGTGGCGTTTTTAGGGCTCCAGGACTTGTCTCTTTACGTTGCTGCACGGTCCTGAGCGAGCGGCGCGAAAGTGGTTCGTATTGCCGCGGGTGAGCCGGCTGATTTGCGTGAGTTCCGGGGCTGCGGGCCGAGGGGAACCTGGCTGCGGGCCTTGGGGAACACCGTGGGCCTCTGCACTTAGCCCTTTCATTGCGGCCTGCAGCTTAAATGATTCAAAATCAAAATCAAATCAAGCACGAACTCCACTCTTTATTGGCTCAGTCACTGTCCCTGGGTGTAGCACTTCTTATCTGGTAACCACGCCATTATCTAAAACAACAAAATGTGTTGAATCCTGATCTTTCTTACAGGAAAGCACAAGAAGCCGACTTGTTTTCCCTAAGACTTGAGGGTTTTTTTAATTGGAAATAAGGCTCTGCTGTTAAGACGCTTCTATGAGATGATAACGTCTTTAGAGATGACCTGCTGTGGATGGAGGCTAAAGGCACTATAAATGTGGTTTGGAGATCGTTCCTTCGGTCAGAATTGAGAATTACCTATTTTCAGAATGAACGTGGGCTGTTTTTCATTGCTCTTCTACTCAGATCTGACACTCTGACCAAATAAAATGTGAGACAAGTTTTTGTAAAGAGTAGGAAAAATAAGCTGCTTGTAGAAGAAAAAGCAAAATAAATTGGGTTATTTTAAAAGACCCTAATTAAAACCTTACATTTAAAACAAGTGCTTGAAATGAGTACACTCCATTTTCCCCCTTCAAAACTTTTTTTTCCCTGGAATAATTCCTTAGCAGTAAGAGAGCATGCATGAACACATTGTGTTCCTCTTCCGAGGCAATTAATACAAAAACTTGTGAGCGAGTAGTAATGCACGAGGACAAATGGATTGGAAGAATTGGAAGGAGCTTGGTTGCCAGGTCTTCCAACCTTTCTAAAAATTGCTACCTAAGATCGCTGTGTCACAGAGCAAGGGACAAAGAACTCACTGTCTCAAAGGTAGGCGCCAGGAGAGGCTGTTGGTCTGTCTGGAGAAATTCCTTGCAGTAGAGGGGGCCCTCAATAAATATTTGTTGAGCAAATAAACAATTATATGAATGGTGAATGAACTAAAATTGTTAGTGCTGTATCCTTGGGAATACAATCTTGTGCCGCTAAAGTTAAATATATGAGAATTTGAAATTGTGAAATGCATAAAGTAGATTAAGTCACTTTAGCCCTCCAGAGGCACTAGAAAATAATTTGGTTTACACACTTCTTTAAGGATCAGGACTCTGCAGTCTTTTTAGTAATCAGGCAAGTGCAAATTAAAACAAGGAGATACAGTCTCACTCAGACTGGAAAAATTTAAAAGCCTGATAAGACCAGGTGTTGGCTAAGGATATGAAGAAATTCCGGCAATGATGTTAGTAGGGAGTGATTCAAGGGTGATTAGTAAAAGCCAACAAAACCACTTCCAGATATATACCTTAAAACAAAGTTTTTCACACTGCAGGTTCGACTTAGTATTTGCAGCTAGCGTATTTTCTTCTTTCTTTTTGAAATAAAATAGAAAATAAGAGTAGTGTGAATATTGTTCCCTGAAATGTGTGTCACTTTTGTGTGTTTGTGTGTATGCTGTGTAAAATGTGTATTTCATGTTGTACTTCACCCTCAACAAAGTTTCCAAGGCGCCGTGCCGGAGAATGCGGGAGAATGTGCGTAATGAGTCTTGCACTGAGGTTCTCTCATTCGCCAAGGATGCCCAAATGGCAATTACTCCAGGCACTGTTCCGAGCACTGCCAGGCAAAGACCAGGGAGGGAGTTTACGCGCTAGGAGAGAAGCAGAAGTAAACAAATAAGATAAATTCAGGTGTGAAAACTTCTGAGAACAAACATAAAAGCAGGATAAG